AAAAAAAAAAAAAAAAAAGGGGGGGGCTGGGCCGACTGTTTCCATCCGGCCCCGACAACTGGGCCGGCTGGAAACATTTGGCCCAGCTTTTTTCGTCCGTTTCATCTGAAATTTACGCTCTAATTTTTTATTTTTTCCCTTTTTCAACGAAATAATATTTAAATATTTATTTTACAAACACCTATAAATTTTTCCTGTAAAATATATGCATACAGAGATGAATTTCTTTTGTTGTTTTTGCTATAAAAAAATTATAAATCTGTGTTTAAATACTGTAAAATTCATCTGCCTTTCTCTAAATAATTATTTACAGATTCAAACAGTAAACTTAACTAAAACAAAATTCAAAATACGTATTTACACTTACCAATTTCCAGTGCCGACTGTGAGTATTGTTTCTTTCTTGAACCTTTGATAATTTTGGGAGATTTCAATATTTTAGCAGATGGAAGGAAAAAATTCTTTTTTACTGTATTGAAGAAACTGATAAACCAAAACTGATTTTGAAATTTACGTATGGAAGTAACAGAATTTATTTAAACTATTAAGGGTATTATTGTCTTTTAAACAATTGATATACTTTTGTAATTATTAAACATGAATAAGGGTACACACACCCTAATAAATCTCTACAATGAGCATAAGAATAGACTCAATTACAATTCAAAACCCAGGCTACTGTATTTCTCCATCAGCTACTTCCTTGCTTCAATCCCATCCCTCTATACACACACACCCTAATAAATCTCTACAATGAGCATAAGAATAGACTCAATTACAATTCAAAACCCTAGCCTGAAGAGAGCTTATTCTCCTTCTACAATGGCGCTCTGTTTTTCTCCGCACTCGTCACTAGGGTTTGAAGCTCTGCACAGACCGGACAATTACTATAAAATGTCAATTGTAGCCCGGTTCGTTCAGCCCAGAGGCCTTGGCCTTAACCTGATTCCATTACGTGGGCGGAATTTTCGGGAACGTTCAGTTTTGTCGTTCGCGGCTTCACAAGAGGAATCGGTGAGCTTACTTTGATCCTTATTTTCTTGCAGTGTTTCGGTGTTCATGTGTGTTGGGATTAGCTTTCTGGGGTTTGAGAAAGATTGTAAGGTCTGCAAGAGTTTATTGGATTTTGGTTTTTTGATATTTTAATTTTAAGCTGTATGATTAGACTTGTTATTTGGTAAACTAATGATATGAATCATATATATATTTGTTTTGTGTTCTATTAATTTCTTTTTGAGAGGGGTTTTCGGCTATAGAAACTTCTCTGCAAGCTTTTAATAATTATGTCAACTGTTTGGACAAATTTGATTGTAAAATAGGCTGCTGCGTCAATTCTTCTGAGATTAATTGTGACTACAATACTCAGCTGTCTTAGCTTTGAGATGTCATTTGAACAATAACAGCCACTACGAGAGTTATTTCCACTTGGGAAGGGCAATGTTTTGTTAATGCTGAGTGTTTTCCTTATGTCGTGGAAGCGTGGCTTTTTAAAATTGGAATGACACCAAGAGCATATTTTGCTAAGCTTATAAGCTTAACCAAACATGGTATAAGCTCCATTTCAATTTGTAATTTTTGGGTTACCAGGATGAAGGGTTGTTTGTGAAATAATAAGCTCATGTAAAGTTTACAAGCATGCAATATATTTGTGATTTTCAGTGATTGTTTTTGTTACTTTTCTTGGCTTGCCTTTCTTTATGTTGGTTTTCCTGGAAATTCTTTCATTTTGAACTTGTAAGTCCTGATTTTGTGGTGATCTATTTTTCAGAAGCCATCAGGTATTGAAATAGAGAAGGAGGAGGATCTTAAATCTGGAGCGGAAGAATCAGAAGAAGCATGGAAACAAACATTAGATTCTTTTAAAGAACAAGCCTTAAAGATGCAGAGTATATCGAAGGAAGCGTACGACGTGTATTCTGAAAAGGCTATAGTCATTTTAAAAGAAACTTCAGAAAAATCAAAAATTCTAGCAGATAAAGCAAGAGATGAGCTGAGCAAAATTGCAAAAGAAATTGCTGAAGAGAGTAAAACATATTTAGCCACAGCTGCAGAGAATTCCCCTGAACAAGTGAAGGATATTGTTGAAACGTTTGCCTACCCTGCGGATGAGCTCAATGATGTCTCTAAAGTACGGGACTTTTATGTTGGAATACCTTATGGTATGTATACAAGTTCAAAAGATATAAGTGCATAATATGCTTGTATATGTACCTTATGTTGAACTTTAGACGAGATGAGGAAGAACCAGAAGTGATCTCATCCCATCTCTCATGCTTTCCAGGTGCTCTTCTTTGTGCTGGTGGCTTTCTATCCTTCATGCTAACTGGAAGCGTTTCTGCAATCAGATTTGGTATTATACTTGGTGGTACTCTTTTAGCCATCAGTATATCAAGTTTAAGATCATGGAATAAAGGAGAGTTGTTGCCTTTAGCCTTGAAAGGACAGACAGGTGTCTATTTTACTGGATTCTTGAAACTAATACCATGTTCTCTATACAACTATCTAGTATTGGTGACATAGATTAATAAGCATTCTCTAGTTTAATAACAAAATACGTAACACGCTGTATTTAAAGACTTGTGAATCTTCCACATGACACTTTGAGATACTCGGATGAAAATGATTGAATTTTGAGTTGATAAAATGTGTTGATAGAAGCATGCATAATAGGTCTTGATAGAAGCATGTTAAAAAAAGAAGATGAACAAAGAGATGTTGCCAAATTTCACAAATGTGATTGTAATCGGTGTGTCTATCACAACAAGAAGAAGCTAAGTCTTGTAACTTGTTCCTAGTAAACTAACTGGTCTGTTACATGAGTCCTTTTTATCAATCCATTAATACAAAGGTTCAAAGGCCTCACTGAATCAGTTCTTTTGCAATGAACTTATGCATTGTTTATTCTGATAATAGCTCTCTCATGTACCACGGTCTTCTTCTCTCTCATCAACACATTCAACTGGAATTACATTGATCTTATAAATGAGAATTTTAGGTCTACGTGTATTTCAATTAACTAAGATGTCTTTCCCTTCACTTATCCTCTATTGGAATCGCCACCACTTGTTGGCACCCAATTTTATTTATTATCTTATGCATTTTTATTTAGTTATAATCCATCTTCATAAATTCTTCTTTATCAACCTAACGTTTAGTGCTTTACTATATAGACTACAATTCGTCTAATGGGGATTGTACAACTTTTCTTTTAACTTAACATTAACATGTAGTTATTTATTTGTTAGAATCATTATAACACTTGTCTATACATTTTTATTTTAGCTTCATTTTATTCTTACCATGACTAAAACTAAAAGTCATTCCATTCATTCTGTGGTGCTTCTATGCTATAGAAAACCAGTTAATTCATGACTAGATTTGGTTTACTTATAGTCTCTACATTGGGACATAACTGTGATATTGCATAATTAATGTATTTTCTGTTATTTCTGCAGCAATTGCTACCATATTGTTTCTTAGGAATTTGCGCATATGGTCCATGGTAACATCATTTTTCCCCTGGCAATTTTGAATATGTTATTGTCTCTTTTCATTCCTGATCAATAAAGCTTGAGAACACATTCTTCTTTTTCTGCCTTAACATTTTCTATTTTCCATTTCTTTGCAGCGACCATTTGTTGCGAATTTTGTTACAACTATCATAAGGTCTGAATGTCTCTGAAATCTTACTGTTGGAAAAACAATTTTTCTTTTCAGCATTCTGTTTGTCTAATTTATTTTACTGATAATTTGTTAATTACTATCACTAGTGGAAGTTTGTAATCAAAGATAGAAATAGGAGAAATATAATATAGTAAAAGCTGCATGGTGAGCTAATTGAGATTTTACCAAAATAGTGTTTTACATTTTTGATATACGTTCATATTAACATAGTAAGAGTGATGTAATTACTAATCATAGAAAGAAGATAATGTGATATGTAGACCTAAGTTAAATAAAATCAAGAGTACATAAAATGACAAATTTAACATAATAGAATATACTTTTTGTAATGTTTTTCTTCTAAATTTTAGTGTACAAGGCCTCTTTTCTGACCTGCTCTCAAAAGAAGCATATATTGGCTTTATCTGGTTTCTCACTGTTCGCTTGCAATGTGCAGTGGCGCAGTGGCAGCGTTCTTTGTGTATAGGATCGTCAGAGATGGTGGAGACACAAAGGGAGGATCCAGTTTGGAAGCCAGCCCAGAAAATTAATCCTTGTGTAAAGGTGTGTACAGATTTTTTACATAGCACATTTTGCACAATATCTATATTAAGCATAAGGAATTATCATGATTTTAGATTTTAAAACTACCTTTCTTTATCAGGGTCTCCTGTCTTTCCCTGGTGTGCTTGAGGTGAAGGGTCGGTCAGTTTGTACTATGCAGTGGATTTGTCAAGAGTTGACACTATAAATAGCCCAGAATTGCGGAATATGTTAGAAGTAGATTTGTAAAGTGACTTGTTTCAACATGAAGTTCGAGCGTATTATTTAGAAGGGCATAGAATGTGAGGAAATAAATTTGGATAACATATTGTGAATCTTTGTACTAAGAATCAATTGTTTGCTTTGCTTATCCCTCATTGAAGGTCATCTGTGTTTTATGTATCGACTATACAGTCTATACTACTGTTTTTCAGTTTGTCATTTGGTTGCCTCTGTTAATCTACTCTGAATCCTTTCCACCACCTTCAGATCCATTGTTCTTTACAATAGTACAAACACAGAACAGCAGTTGCACATCTGATGTTTGTAGAAACTCGAAAGGGCCAGACAGTGCAGTGGTTATGGGTCTTAGTCGGGTCATGCTCGCTCGATAAATTTTTAGCAATGGTTATTGTGTCATCATCCATTTAGTTATAACAAAAGAAATGTATGCGTGCTATCATCCATTTAGTTATAACAAAAGAAATGTATGCGTGCTTTATAAAATTGCCAGCATAGAACAAACATGGCCTTTTACATGCACCATCCAAGGAAAATTCCCAAACAATTGGGAGTTTATTAAAAGCATCCACAATTTACATAAAATATGAACAAGATCAAAAGATTACGGCGTGAAATATGAGTGAGCCATGAAGATGCAGGAAGCAGCATCAGGGCAATAAAACATTACACGACCGTATAGCTACTGGTGGCGTGGAGTACATTCTTAACAGGTGATCGTCCCAATCTCAGACATTCCCATGTAGATTGTGATTAGGTACCTCTCCTTGATTATCCAAGGGCATGTACTGTGCCATTATGGCCCGAATCTCAGAGTCCATGTAGTGCTGCATATGAATCAATGGCATCAGAATAACATAACTAAGTAAATTACATAACTGGAACATGATAAAAACCTGTGTTCAAAAAAAATAAATAAATAAATAAAATGTACAGCAGTGCAGGTATATCAACTGACACGTACCCGGATCCTGTATTTGTACAGAGCATATCCCCCAACTCCAGCGACAGAAAAACCAAGAATGATCACCCACAAAAAGCCCCAGCTAAATTCTGTATTAACAGCTTTACCTGTATGTCCAGTTTAAAATGAAAAATTACGGGTAAGAAAAACTGATAACTATAAATCTGAGTAGCGTTGAAAATCAATAGCTCAAAAAAGATCAAACTTGTCAAAAGGACATCAAAAATCAAGAGGTGCACAGGTTACATTCAGATTTGAATTCTTTTAATGCAAGTCATAAGAAGAGAATATCCCATTTGACCCTGCAGTGGAAGCTGATCTTCAAATGTCAACCATAATCGAGTGGAAACTCAGAAATGAACACTAATTTCACGTTTTACTAGAATTTAGACAAGTTTGAGGAGGTCTTCTTTTCAACTAGACTTCTCGGATAACTGAGTTTTCTGAAGCAAGCACGTATATTATATGCTGCATATTAACTAAAATATTTTTACACTCACTTATACATGTGTCGTGTTCGTGCATGTATAATAAGTTTCGATTGCAACGGCATTCATAGCTTCCCCAAGTATTCTTGCATTTGCACTCTGGACATCGGCAGGCCAGCTTTTCCTTGCACTCATCAATATCTAAAAGCCATCAAATTTGAAGAACAAAAGTCAATATAGCAGGAACTAGCAGAAGCTAGCGACATTAGTCTCCATCACAAAAAAAAAAAAAAAAAAAAATCTCAAAATTGATGAGAAGCAATGCTAGTATTAGATATATTCACATCAATAGAAAATCCAGAAAATGTTAAACCTTCACAACTATTAACTCCATCGCCCCTGAATCCCGGTGGGCATTTGCAACCTTTTGTACGGTCATCCTGGAGAATATAGATCAAACTGACTATATTTATATCAACAGCCAAAATCATTTCTCACGTGACAAAACGAAAAGGGAAAAAGGAACTTTGACGAGGAGGAAAAAGCAAGAGAAGGAAACAGAAGTCAGAAACTCACAATGCATGCAGAATACGTCCTTCCACCCTTGGTTCCCTTCCAACAGCCTCCATTACTTATTTCACATTTTAATACTCCAGAAGCTGTCATACCAGAAAAAAAATGTCCTGAATGATTAAAAAAAGCATGCAGGTCTTTGTAATCCCCTCCTTCCCTTAGGCCTGGGGTAACACTTTATGTTGATTATAGAGTTTCAAGGAATGAACTCAAGATGAATGACCACAGAAACTCAATTCACTCGAGCAAGTTCGTTGGGCGCAGAGAAGAATAATTACATAAAGTGAAGAAAATAACTTTTACGAGTTTTTGTTCTATTAAAATGAAATTAACTATTACATAAAGCTACAATGCCTGAAGAATTAAGATGTTAAGGGAATTATTTCAGGCATGGTAGCTGCAATAATTACCTTCACAATGAGTATAACCATCACCAACAAATTTAACTCCGCTCAGAATAGGGCACTCACACACTCTCCCTCGGAAAGTGTCCTGTAAGACAGTTTTTGTGCACATCAGAAGAGTATCAGCAGCCAAAAGATTAAAGCAGAGTTCAAAAGATTAGAGTACCCTGCATGCAGTAATGTTAGCAGCCTTGTCCTGCCAGCATCCACCATTGTTTACCAAACACTCATTTGTTTCTATGTCTGAAGATACATAAAAACAAATTGGGGAATTCAGACTGTATCTACTGTGCAAATATGACGCAAGATTGTGTTGCAGAGTGCTTATTTTGAAATAGGTCTTTCAAATCACATTCAGTAAGATATTCAAGATATTCCTTCTTTCAATTTTTGTTTAGCAGCGCAGACACATAATAATAGAGAACTGTAACATTAGAAGATAGAGATGGAGAGTGAACCTTCGGTCAAACAAATGGAAGGCTCAGTAGACTCCTCAAAACCTGAACATATGGCCTTAAGAACTGCTCCTTTGTCCAGCTTGCCTGAAAATTAGGATCGTTTATATTAATTATTTCTCAATGAAATGCGATCCAGGAAGGTGCTGGCTATTTAGCTTCTGAAAGTTTGTACCTCTGTATTGTCGATTATTTATAACCAGAGTTGGCAATATGGTCACATCTCCGCGGGAGCCCTTACCTATCTGATATTACCATCATAAGTTATCAACTCTTAGAGCAACAGTTACCAAATTGCTGTAATAAAAGTAATAAAGGCCTTTGAGTTTGTAAAACCTGAGCATCTTGTTCGGCTTTCAGAATTGGGTTGTCTGCATCTGCCTTTGTATCTCCTACGCATTTATCTATCCGCTGAATATCAATTCCTGAAAAGAATCATTAGTCAATAAGTAGAACAATGAGAGAGTATTTATTTGTGACACAGTGAATAGCAGGTGAAGAAAATAAAAGCTCTCGATGGAAAACAAGCTATCAACTCTTCCAACATTCAAATTATAAGCAATAAGGAGGGAGAGATTATGTTGGAGAACTATATTAGCCTTCATCTCCAAAAAAAATTTTGTTCATTGAGCTTCAAGTCATAGATGGCATGCATCACAAGCGACCTGACTCAATTAAACCTCAAGACGCAGTAGGGTACTAATTTGACAATGAACAAGCAATGGAACAAGAAAGAAAGGAGGTACAAGAAGAGAAGAAGAATTGAGGTCAATGAGAAATAATTTTATACAGATAATCAAGGGTGACTTACAATAATTAAGCCCTCTATTTATAGGGCAACTAATTACAATAAAAAAGAAGTACCACTAATCTAGAATTTTATCAAACTATTAAATTTAATTTAATCTAATCTAAACATCCATAATTGAAATTAAACTCTATTTTAAATTCCTATCTTAACTATATCTCTATCTCCATCACCTTATCCCCCCCACTTCCTACGGGTCGGGTAGACGGACCTTCTCCAACACCACTATGCCAAGAGTCATCTCCAAAGTGAAACCATAAACTTTCAGATCGTTTTTGTTGCACCCACTGATTTTAGGCTGACTTCTGCGCCTACTAATTGATACAATACTACGTTACTTTCCTAACCAGCGCATCTAGTGGTCTTCATTGAATATTATCAAACCATCTCAATAGGCTCTCCCATGATATATACTAAATAGGCTCGAACTTAACCAATTCAAAAATATTATTTCTTATTCTGATGATCTTATTTTCTTAGAAATCTATTTCAAGTTCTTCTCTCAACTGCCCTTGGTTTACGTACATGTCTTAATTTCTAAACATTAAACATCACTGGAGTTGTAACAAGTCTATAGATTTATCCTTCTAATATTATATGTATTGTTCAAGTAACATCATCTAATCCTCTCTCATTGCCTCTTCTTCCAAGTAATTTGAGCCTATATATTGAAAATGTTCACATTGTAGATTTCATGACCTATTTTTGCTACAGTAGACATTGACTAGAACAACACCCTAAGTATGAGTCTTGCTCTAACCCAATGTGAATCCTTTTGTATGAATACATTCTCTCTACAAATCTATTCGACACCGATTTAGATCATTGATGACTAACACAGGTTGAAGTCATTGATGCTTCACAAAAAAGAATTTTATCAAATGTTAATAAAATGCACAAATGGAAGTCCAAGTCAAGATATTACGTCAAGGAACTACTAACACTGATGTCAAGGTAATCATTCATGAAGTATGACAAGAAGCTTTTGCAACAACAAACGAACAGAATTTGCATTTATATGTAATAGATCCTAATAGAAAGTAAGATTGCAAACATACTGATAAGATGTAAAAGAAATCACAAAAATGCTTCACAAAGAAACTGTATATATTCTAATGGGACATCAACTGAAAAACATATCACGATAATAAAAGCTGATGTATTGTTACTCATGCATGAGCTTAACATATGGTATGGATCCAAAACACTACTCAATAAACACAGGCAGAAAAAAATTAATCTACCTAGGGACTGCATTACTTGATCTGCACACTCTTTAGTGTACTTCTTCTCTTTCATTGGACAGCGAATTGAAAAATCTGTAACATAGTCCCACCACAACCATGGCTTTCCACTTTCTTTTGCTACCTTAAAGAAGCAAGCTTGGCGTAGATTTTGCACTACAACGTCCTTCCCGTCATATCCCCTACTGAAATCCTGTTCAGGATCCGGTGCACAATACCTCCCATGGTTGATGCACTGTGACATGCACTGTTTGCTCAAAATAAAAGACTCAGGACAGTACCAAGTTATATAACGTGGAGTGAACTGAGTGTAGCCTTTCTGCTCAAGTATTTGGGCAGCTCCTTTGAAATTTTTTACAAACTCTATCTGGCTTTCACACTTGGGACCACACTCATCATTACTATTTGTCCAGAACTCATACTCGACCCGTTCATCCGGATGTGGAAGTGCCTCCCTCCAATCAAGATTTATGTTTACCATATTTCCTTTCGATAATTCTTTCTTGATTTTATCCCCAAGATCCTCGTTGATGAGTGCTGATGGGATACTTATGTTTTGCAGATAATCTGCCCGAGCATCCTCTTCTTCTGGGGTATCCATGGTAATCAGAGGCTCAACCCTATCATCCGCAACGAGAATAGCTGCCGCTCCAGCATTCTGCGCATTCCATGCCTTCAACGTGAAATAGCAATCTGCCAGATATAGAGGTACGTTCAGATACTTTGATTTCACAAATACGTAAATGCTTACTGTATGCGTTCGTGTAGTTTTTGAAGATAATTAAAGGAGTATCAAGTATCTGAACTGCTTGTCTGCACTTTAACATAAGCTAATGCAAACATTTCTTGAGGGATGCAAGATGAAAACAAAATGAGTGTCTGAAGTAATTAAGAAAATAAAGCTAAAAAGGAACGGGGGATTATGAACTCCAAATTTCTCTCTACAATAGAGATAGATGCTCAATTCAAACCTTATTTTTCGTCGTTTGGGAATTCCATATTAAATCTAACTAGGCGTTTCACCAAGTTAACAGGAAGTATAATTAACATTAAACAGTAATCACTCGCAAGTAATTTATACATTACATCAACAAAAACAAGGATCATCCTTTTCTTTAAAGGCAAGCATAAAGTTAAACTAGTGATCCCAACAGACAAAATCACACAATGACCTTCCTCTTGATACAAATTTAACACTTCAGGAAAGAAGCATATAACTTTCCAAAAAATGGGACAGAGAAATTAAGAAACTTTACCCCCTCTGTCAGTAAGAAGAAAGACAGGCATGCCCCCAGGCTTAGTCTTGAAGGAGATATCAAGATCTTTAAAACTCTTGCATGCCTTTTGATTGGCTGCTGGGTAGACCACAGTACCTACCATAGTCCCTCCATACTGAGGCACCCCAAAGTTTCCAATTGCACACTCATAAACATCTTTGAGCGAGTCCGGTGACGTCACCTTCAAGCTGTTCTTCTCCACAACAAATCTCCCCAAACAAGACCCAGATAGAAGAAACCAAACACATACCAAAAATCCAATATGTTCATTCATTTTCATTGAATAATTGCCAGTCCCAGATCAGATATTCAAATTCAAATCCTTCTTCCCAAAACCCACTCGTCAATACACAAAATTCCACCAAAGTTATACGAGAATAAAATATTTTCGTCTGATTGATGTCTAATGATGACCCAGTTGATAAACCCAACAAGATCACTTTTATTGATACTACAGTCTACTTATTGAGCTGAATTCACAATAAAACCATAAGTCGAAGAAAATTGGACAAAAAAAGGGCTGAGTGTTTGTGTAGTAATTTGTAACACGTGTTAAATGAGACTCTAAACCGACAGTCGATCAAGTCCTAATCAGCAAAGAGGACCATTTCTTTTCATCATAAGTACTTGTAAAACATGATCTTGAATTAGCGGTGAACGGGAGAAGCAAGGAATTTAAGATTTTAGTTCATGAGCCAGGACCTACAGGTGTAATAGAAACCTGAAATGGTGTACTGAATTTGTGCTCAATATAACCGGGGATATTGCATGTTTGGCTTTGCTCAAAAGTAGCTCTTTACATAAAAGTAGCTTGTGTGTATTTTAATCAAAACTAAAAATGAGAAGTATAAAGTTAATATATGTTTTGTACCATATTTGTACAAATAATTTTTACAGGAGTTTTTACAGATGTGCGGATGGCAACTTAACTATGTTTTTTGTCTAACATCCAATTAAATCTTGACAGTTGGCAATAGATTAAAAAAATTGTCAATTGACCCGTGTAACGGGATTGTAAATAGAAACTTGATATCTTCAGAAATATCAAATTTATCATACAAGGTAAGAGGGATAAGGGAAGATGTTGATGACATTCAAAGTTCTGAATCTTTAGTGCAATTCATATATTCGAAAGAAAATTAGAATTGAATTATGCATATTATCCACATGACCACGAGATAAATATGAGAGCGCGACTTTATTTGTTAACAATTTGTACGGACTTGGAAAGACAAATTGAGGTGCATCAACTATTATCTTTCCCGATTGGAAAAAAAAATGAAATTTGTAAATTGCTCAAAATAGAATATATGGTCAACGACAAAAAATAATGAAGATTAGAGTGCAAATTTTTAAATTTGATTCACTTAAACCACAATTAATCATGTAATGGTGGCTCTCACATATATATAAGGTGCAATTTAGGTTCTTCATAGAAAGGCCGACGGAATTGAATTAAACAGGTGCCACATCTGATTGCAAAAGGCTCGTTGAACAAGTTATCTTTTAAATAAAAGAGTAAATCGATAACATGCTTTATTCAATCCAATGCGTTGAAATATCTTACTTCGACCTGGTTTCAAATGAGAAAAGGTACTCACAGAGAACTAAATTAAGAGGAGGAAAATATTATATATACACCTCATAGTGTACACAATAGATTACACCCCCCCTTAAGCCCTCAGGGCACATCTCCAAGTGATAAAAGGGGAGGGTGGAGAAATCCAGCTTTACTTGAGGCTGTCGCGTCAAGGGTTCGAATCCTGAAATATGAATTTGGCTTTTGGGTAAGTGCAAGTGTACAAGCAGCCTTCCACCCTATACCCTTGGAAGCATAACCTGCGATTTATCTCCCTCACGATGCTCCAGGGCAGGGGCGGTGGGGGATCCTTAAAGTTGGGGTTTAACCTTTAGATTACACCCCCCTTAAATGAAGGGGGCCCACAAATATCTTACAGTATGTGGATTCCTCTCCATGTGAGAAGGGTGTACTATTAAAGGTTGAACCCCAACCTTAAGGGTCCCCCACCACCCCTACCTTGGAGTATCGTGAGGGAGGTAAATCACAGGTTATGCCTCCAAGGGTACAGAGCGGAAGGCTGCTGTACACTTGCACTTACCCAAGAGCCAAATCCATATTTCAGGATTCGAACCCTTGACGCGGCAGTCTCAAGCAAAGCTGGATTTCTCCACCCTCCTCTTTTACCATTTGGAGATGTGCCCTGGGGGTGAGAAGGGTATACTATTGTGTATACATAGCATTGTCCGAAAGGGAATTGTGGTCTTTTACACAAAGAGAAATGATATTTGTACACTTCTGATGTACATCATGCTTGACACCCTTTTTGTGTTTAAAAAAATTGTTAAAAGGAAACTAATTTTTTTAAGGCCTCATTTGATTCTTATTTTTATCAAAATGTATTTTTATCTCTTCTTTTTTAACTACATATTCTTTATTAAAATAATATTATACGTAAAACAAAAAAATTTCTTTATTTTTCACCACACATTTTTCATCAATCTACTATTCTAAAATTTATTTTTCCAATAAAATGGATGTCAAACACCCTCTAATTGTCAAATGACAATTAACCATATTTACTATGTGACAAACTGCCAAACTTAGTGTACACTTAAGTCACCAAGCATGACTCTTACACAGATTATTCACAATGGTACAATTATGAGAATTAAATTTTAACGAAAAACCTGTTCTCACATGTGGCAATTCTTCCTAAAGTTTGTTCTAATTTATGCAATATTGAGCCTCCGTATGTCTCCCTTTAAAACATTATATTTAATTTTCATACTGATTTTCAATTACATCTATACAATAAAATATATATATATATATATATATATATTTTTTTTTTTTAACTACTCATTCTCCTAAAAATTATTATTTAAAAAATCATTTTTTTCCCTCAACAATGATCACCAAACCGGGGCTGAGGTTGGGAATGCTATGGAAAAAAGGTCAACTACAAAAGTACTATAATGATTAAAGTAAAGGTTGAGGACAATAAATACACTCCAGCCCTAAAATTTATTAGAAAAATTTAATGGATATTATTTTTCTATGTAGATTTTTTACCAGTGATCGAGGGGTGCGTGCATCTCGTGTTTAGGCTATAAATCAAAGGTCTGCATCAGATGCGTAATGAAGATAATAATCTAATTTATATTTTGTTGAATGGGTAATTATCACGAAAGGGCTTTACCTTTTGCTATTATTGTGAAAATCGTCGTTACCTTTCATTTTTTGACATTTTCACATTTAATTGCGCAAAAACATCATTCTTTTAACATTTTTGTTAAATGGACATTTAGTCTTTTTTATTCTTTTCAAAATGAAGGCATATCATTGTCCTAAAACATATTCTTCCCTTCTTCTTCTCCAACAAGGTCAGACTTGAGGAGAGCCCAAGAGGCCTCCGCCTCGGGCCTAACATTTTGTGGAGCCCAAAATTCCCTTTTTCCTTTTAAAAAAAAAAAATTGTTGTACTGTATTGGGTGATTGATATGGATTTTCCCGAAGCATCCTATATTTTTTGGCATGTGTTTTATTTGAATCGTAGTGGCCTAAGGGTTGAGATATACATTGGATTGAGAATTGAGATTAAACAATTTTGTTCCAACTAGTTTTACTTATTTAGAAAATTATCACCTCTATCCTCTGTTTTGTTTGTGGAGAAGAAGAAAAGGCTGAAAAGCATTAAGCTCTAAGTTTTGGTATTGAATTAAATAGATTTAGGCATTTAGCTTTGTGTTGGAATTACATTAATATCATTTTGATTCCTAGATGTTTTTTCATGTATTGAACCAGGCAGTGGGCAGCAAATGAGGCTTTATGTGAAATTTGAATTGCATAAAGTTTAGACATTGAGGGAATTAGATCCTGGAGCTTGGGTGCTATTTCTGTGATTACTAAGAGAGTTGGGAACTGAAGGTCCAACACCTGAAAAAAAACATCACTGGAGTCATGTGGTTAGAAGTAGTTATACGAAGAATATAAGTTAGAGATGTGCTCTATGTAGAGATACAGACACTTTACAAACCACACACAGGCACTATTTTATTCCACATGGGACCCACTCCCATGTGAGACTTCTGTAAGGTTTCTGTCAAAATTTTTTTGTACAACTAAAATTATTGTATAAGTTAGAGAGGTGCTCTTTACAAATCACACAGCTCATTTTTGGGCACTATTTTTGGAGTTGATGATTAATTTATATAATAATATTCTCATGAGTGACCAAGACAATTTTGCTTGCTAATCCAGTAATGTATCCTAGTTTGGAAGATTGTTTAGAACATTTTCGTATTATTATTTGATTGTAATATAAATATTTTGAATATTTCATTTTTATTCGTTACTTTGTTGTTGATTCTAAGTTAACAAATTTAGTTCTTTAGAACTCTTATAAATGATAAAAATGAATTGCTTGCTATGACTTAAGAACCTAAATTTTGAAATTTGCCTTAAGCCCTATGAAACTCAGGTCCGACCCTGTTCTCCTATTTTCCCCTCTCCCATCATCTTCTTCCTCAAACATTCCCCTCCCCCTCATTTTTTTCCTTCGAGCTTGCACAATATTATTCTGACCACTTTCGAGAAATTGAACAGTGGCACCTTTTTCAAAATTGAAGGAAACTAATTCAACCAACTAAAATGGACGAGTAATGTGTTAATTGGAATCGAGAAGCTTGCTTGTTAAATTTTTCAAGTTCATCTCTTAATCATCTTTCTAACAATCCCATCAAGAAATCATTTTTCAGCTTCAAAATCCAAAACCCAACTCATCATTGGAAAAAAAAATTGACAGAAGCAAAAGAAAAATACCAACTTAATTCTGGATCGATGGAGTGCAAGAAAATAGTGGGAGAGGATATGTATTGGGCAATGGGGTTCGATAGAGGCGAATCTAGGGTCGGAGGTCAGTTAAGGCGGACATTAATCGACAGTGACAATTGATCGTTGGCTAGACAATCAAAGACCATAATAACAAGATAGTTTACTAATATTTAATTTAATAACATATATGTAAATGCACTAAAGCTTAAAAATTCTATTTGTATGAAAATATAATTCAATATAATCCAAAATACTAAAAAACATACACGATGCAACCTTACTCTGTAATTATAAACTAAGACAAATAGATTTAACGGGGTCCCATATTTTAAAAACGTTGCAATATTGTCACGTTCTCAATTAAATTTTTTCACTTTTTCTAAATGGTTGAATTGAGCTCCAGATCTTCTCTATTAATTTTTTTTTTCACTTATCCTAATTTCCTAAACATAAATTCTCAAGGGAGCGGCTATTTACATCCACATAAGTTATATATTTATCCCTTTATATTCATCCCTATTAAAATTCTAAAATTTTAAAAAAATATTATTTTCATCCACATCACATTCCAATATTGTCCTTATTAAATTCATTCATCTAAACACTATAGATCCACATTAGCTTATATATCTATTCCATCATAATTTCTTTAATCGTTTTATATATCTATCCACACAATTTTTATATCTATGCACGAACACCATTTTTTATATATTTATCCTCTAATTTTATATATCTCGTACATGCATAAGAATCATTAATTTATTTACTTTAATCTTAAGAGAACAAAAAATCAGTATTAACATCAAATCAATTCACTTTTAAAAAATTTAATAAAAAATGTTTACCCCTACAAAAAACTTTTCATTT